AAAGCGACCAGGCCTAAGTGAAGATAACAGTATTTTGTACATCCTAAGAATGTTGTTTCAGTCAAAAGGCTGCTGACCCATAAGCAGAGGTGACCATGGTCACTTAACTAATGCCTATCTGTTGGTGTCCCACTTGTAGGCATTAGCTATGTGACTAAACAGTGACACAGTCACCATCTGCAGTTTAACGGGTTTAAGAGGACAGCTCGTCACTCACTCCCTAAAGCAGACGCAGCTGATTGGAGGCCTTTGTGTGACAGGTGAGATATTGTGCTCGTTCACTTTGGAAACACACCGTAATGAGTTGAGACTCTTGTCTCCTTCACAGAGTTGAGCCAGTTGTATGACAGGACGTTCCTCAGGGATTCTCTCTCTAAATCTGTATCTCATTTGGAAAAAGCCAGCAAAAGAACAATTTGTGCATGCAGCCCGGCTCTTTGTCGAAGTACTCAAACAATAACAAAGACTTTTGCAAATCTTTCCCTCAGACAGCTTTTTAAAAATGTTTCTGTAGACCAAACCCTAACCAAAGAAACATCTCACTTACTGTTGCTCACTAGGTCTTTATTCTCTTTTGCTCTTTGGCTTTACATAATAAGCACTTAAGGAATATTTCTGTTCAGCATATGTTTTGTAGCACCAATCACATCTATGTTGTTGGGGTGTTGTCACAACCTTGTTGAGTATACAGCATTCTGACAGAAGGCACTGATGAAATGGTAGGCATTGTTTGAGTCAAACAAAACAAAAACAGAACTGGTCAAAAGGATGTCCATTAGTATGTTAGTCCATCACTCTTCGGTAACTGTTCAGTATAGTTTGCTGTTGTACAAAAAACATAAAAATATATACTTCAACAATATAATGAAAAGAAATCCTTGTCACAAATAAAGGTGTATGAGAGGTTTTAGATGGGCAGCTACCTAGTACCAAGACAAATCTATAAAACATATGTAAGGTGACTGCAATGTGAACTTGTTTATACATTATAATAAGAATATACTTTGTGAGGGAAAATGACATGAAATCACTGGACCAAACTCATATAACTTTAAGAGGCCTTTTCTACAGCTAGGAAATAAACACTTAACTTGTGCCTCAATAAAAAGCTACAATGCTTCGCTCTCCTAACACCTTCCTAATCAGACTCTCATCCTGGATAGCTACAGGCCTCTGTACCAGGAGCTGCTGGGATGTTTTCATGTCAGCATCCCTTAACCACACTGACAAAACCAGTGATTCTGGAAGAGATATACCTGTGGTTAAAGTAGCTGTTGAGTTAAATTACAGTGAAGTTAACTATTCATCATCTTGCTGTGGATACCCCCTCAAAGACCCATATCCCCTCTTCCCTCCCTGTTACCATCACCCCCTCTTCAGTCTCAGATAACAGTTTGCTCGCCCCTACACTTCCTGCAGGCTCCATAAATAACCGACAGGAGGTAAACCAGGCAGCACAGGCAGGCGAACACGGTGGCTGTCAGGTAGACCTTATACAGACAGTAGTGCTTGTACTGCTCCAGGTTGCAGTATGAGTTGCGATCCGTCTTGTAGATCATGACACCTATGGCCGGCAGGTAGAGCACGGTGGCAGCCACGTCGTGCGCCAGGTTGGTGGACAACCAGCGCTCCCCTCCCAGCAGCGGGACGAGGTCCTGCTTGTCCAGGAGGGTGAGGAAGAAAAGGGCGAGGGTGAAGAGCCAGAAGAAGACTGCGACGAACAGGACGAAGTGGATGGATCCTTCGTATTTGTTGGCGGAGATGGTGACCCACAGCCCGGCTCCGAACACTATCTGTAGGATCCGGATGATTCCCAAAAAACTCTTGAGGAACTTTAGGATATTCGTCCTCACCTGCAACTGGAGAGTTTCGGGTGGCATCTCTCTGCTCCTCCGGTCACTCTCAGTTCCTTTTTCCCAAACAGGGCGGGTGCTTTCTGCCAGCTGCAAACAGCTGGGAAAAGATGAGGAAAAAGTGGAAATAACGGGATGGATGGTTTGTTGTCTGACAATGAAGCCGAAAGTGGCCAAAGTTAGGTATAAAAAGGAACTCACTGTTCTTTTCACAGCCCCGGGGTTTTGAAATGAAAAACCTTCTTGTATATTTCGTCTTTTCCGTTTCCTCTGCTGAATGTAGCGTCTGTTTTTTTTGGGG